TCTTACAAGCATATTACCTTAGGAAACCCAAAGATTGCAAGGCCACATCTCTAAAATCTTCTTGATTGAAAGTTTCTAACTGTCTTTTTCCTGGACTACTTTTTAGGTAATTTAAAACATTTAAATTTGCATCTCTTCAGTATCACAATCACCAGAAATGAAACAAGACATCTATTAGGAATTTTTTCTCTATATAGACTCTTACAGAAACTATGTCAGAAACTCCTTTTTAAAGGAGTTTTGCTTGTTATCATCATGAATTAACCAACCAACTGATGCTCCCATTTGTTGACTTGTGCTATATAAAGGTGACTAGTTCATAAAATAATCAAATAACATAAAGATTACTGGCTTTGGCTTAATGAAAACACCTCAATGAAATTTTCCCAGCATTCTCTGGCAAAATACTCTATTAGTTCCTAATGGTAGCAGACTTTTAGTTCCTTAAGTATTAAAAATAAATAAATGAAAACCAGGGAACAATGTTTAATAGAAATTGGATGGAAATCAAAAATCTGTAAGTATCTTATTTCCTCACAGGAAAAAATATTGCAAAAATGCATCTTAAGTAAGAATGGGAAGTGGGTAATACAGTTTTGATTAAGTCAGCATATACATTTCAAGTTACAATGCAGGCAAAGAAAGCAGTTTAAAAATTTGATCAACATTAAAAAGGACATCTATGATACTTGCCTGAGAGCTTGTAAGAAGAAAGGTCAATACTTAAGGGCCATGTTGATACCTTCAGCCTTTTCAGCAAAATATGATAAACATTTGTCCAAAGTATCTCTTTATTATCTGTGGCAATGAACTTAAATATCAGCACCACATCTGCCAGGACACCACCATTCGCTGGACTGCAAAAGAATAATACAGACAGCTGACCAAGCAAGCCAGGATGTTTTCCACACTCCGTAGGGGTCTTTTTTCACATATGCTCACTCAAAATATTTGGGCAATTAAGACAGAAAATTAAAAATACCATCCCCATCCACCCATAAAGGAACATCAGGCACAAGCCACCCGAAGATTTGCTGTTCAACTCATTGCCTCTTAGGAATGAATGGGACTGTGCAGGCACTAGGAAATGGTTTGGCCTAAATTTGCGCTGTGCCCCCAAAAACAGCTGTGATTTGGGGTCAGAAATTATAGGGATCTTATAGTGGCACAGAGTTTTCCCCTCTTTTAAAACTTTCTCTTTTTCTCCTCTTTTCCTTTGCCCATCTTGGAATGAAGCTTTTTTCATTGGCTGCAGTCTGCCTATTAATATTTTCCCCACAATTCCCAGAAATAGTGTTGTGCTGAAAAATAGGGAGAGAGAGAAACAGGATAGCAACTTTCATCTGCCTAAATAAGTAAGTAAATAAATAAGTCCACTCTGCAGCCAATTATAAACGTACCAGACTTTACAGAATGCTGGTCCGCCAAAATGGCCTTTCAATAAATGGGGCATTTTTGAATAGCCCTAAAATAATGCCAGCTTATTATATGCTCAATTTAAAGCCAAAATGTTGTGGATTAAGAGAAGCAAAACTATTATTTCCAGGCGTGGGAAATGTTATTACCTTTATGTTTCTGAAAATTTATTAGCATCCTCCAGCAGAACAGGCACAGTTTTAACAGTGATCTATATTCCCTGAGATAGAGCTCTTTGACCAGACAGAAAAATTGAGCAAGTCTAATACAGATTGTTCAATTAATAAGGCAAATTTCAGTTTCTATTTCTTGCTTTGGAAATTAGACTTTGCACTGTGAAGAGCTGTTTGTTTGTTTGTTGAAATGAAACTTAAAACATAGTCACATGTTTATATGTGTTAGAATGTACTTTGTACTGTGAGTGCATTAGCTCCATCAAAAGGCACTTGCAGATAAGAGATCCAATTAGGCCAGGTACCTATCATGACACATAGCACAAAAGCCTACTCCTGCCACTTCCTTGCTGGAATACAGTGAACTTTTAAGGTAATTTTAGACTCAGCCCCATCAACAAGTGGAGAAACATACTTCTACTTGTTCCAATTCAGGATCGGTTCAGATGTTAGAGAAAGGTGAGCTAAAAAAAATGATTTTGCATGGTCATCACATAGTAGGAAAGGGTTTCTATTTTGAGGATAGCAAAACAAAATGCAAATCAGTGACACAACATGCACAGAAGGACTTCCATGGAAAGAATTTTAAGAACCTTCCTAAAACATTCTCCAATCCAAGTCTGTTTGAGAGCTAACCCTGTTTGTGTCCATTGCTTTGTTCATTACGGGATGTTTTCATACCATGAATTCTCCAGCAAACACTGTGGACTGTACAGTAGAATAGCTATCTGAGTCCTAGTATTTGTCCACCTGCTGGTCTTGCCTTGGTACTTTCCCCAGGTGGTTGTTTGTTTGGGTATTTCATGGTGAGGAAACAGAATTTAGTCTTGAGCTCCCAGTTCATCAGTTCCCAAAAGAATGAGAGACAAACTCAGTTAACTCAATTCAAATATAATGGTTATGGACATTTAATTATGTTAAAATTGTCCCAACCATTTTTTAAAAATTCATCTGCTGGTTTTATAGTTGTGAGCCAGATGATATTGACTCCATGAATTAAAAACTTAATGCATTTATTTAAAGTTTAAGATAGGAATATAAAAATCATCAGGCAGCCAATTACACCAAAGAGCAATTCAGTTAGTTGGGTTGTTTTCAGCATCTATTCTAAATTGCTACAAAGGAAAGATCAGCCTATTCTAACATGCCTCCGGTTCCTAGGTATTGAGCTACAACTATCATAATCAGCCATTATGAATGCTATGTGTTGCTGATTGATGGGAGTCATAGTCCCAACACAACTGAGAAACCCCAGTTAGGGGAAGTAGCCCAGATCTATTTTTAATGCAGTCTTGGCTATTTGACTTATAAATTCATTCTCATTTCATTGTTAGCAATTAATTCAGCGTCTATTTCTGAGTAGAATGTTCATTTTACATACCTTAGCCTGACAACACGTGATTTAATGAGTCTTTTTTCTAAGGGAGTAGCTTGAAATGCTTGTTTAGTCTGTTGAAAGGAATGAAAAGTTATGTTTGATATATAAAATTTATTAAACAAAGTAGAAATGCAGCAGCCTCCCTAGGTGTATGTGTCAAAGTCTGCAAGATGATGGATGTGGCATCACAATTAAAGCCTTGCTTTTTTTTGTACATGCTGAGAATCACAGCATGGGGAAAGGAATGGAGCTTCTATGGTAACATACACCTGTCATCTTGCAGGTTATGACCCCCTTCTCCATAGACATCCATGTAACAGTGAGAAAACCAATACAGTATGAATGCACTAAAACAATTTGGCCAGGCTCAAAAGAACGAACTGATCCATGCAAAACTCAGTTGAATTTGACCATTCTTTCTTTATTAGCTGAGTTACATTTATAAATAACTTAGATGAGAGGTTAGAAATTTGATTATCAGATTTGCCAATGACATAAAGTTAGGGCAAAGAACAAACACCTTAGCAGACAGCATCAAGATTCAGGAGGATTTTGATAAGCTGGAACAATGGATAAAAACCAGCAAATTAATTTCAACAGGAATAATTGTAAAGTCTTAGATTTGTATAAGAAAAATCAAAGACCTGAGTATAGGATGGGGAGGCATGCTGGGCAGCAATACAGCTGAAAAGGATCTGAGTGTCTTGGTAGCTCACAAGCTGAACATGAGCCAATAATGTAATGCAGATGCAAAAAACCAGATGTTCTATTGGGCTGCATCAACAGTGCAGTGTCAAGAGAAGTCTTGTTCCTCTCTATTCCGAGTTTGGCAGACCCCAACTACAATATTACACCAAGTTCTGGGCACCACATTTTAAGAACACTGAAAATTTGGAAATATTTGGAGAAAAAGCAGTTTAGCAATGGTCTGCCTTAGAAGGTGGTAGACTCTTTTTTCACTAGATGGCCATCTGTCAACAATGCTGTAATAGAGAATTCCTGCGTTGGGCAGGGATTCCTTGATCTCCAAGGTCCCTTCTATTCCTTCTATTATTCTAAATGTGATTGGATGGATCATAGGGGGAAAAAACCACACAAATTTCCCAAGCCCCTAAGAGAATTCCTTTCTAAAAAGAATATATCTGTATCTGCAATAAAAATATAAAAATTAAATTAATAGAATTCCTTTCTAAAAAGAATATATCTGTATCTGCAATAAATCTATAAAAATTAAATTAATAGAATTCCTTTCTAAAAAGAATATATCTGTATCTGCAATAAATCTATTAAATTAAATCAAAACAGACACGCACAAAAAAGATAAGCCTGCCTGGAAAGTCCTTTAAAAGTCCTTCCACAAATAGAAGCCCAATTGTCTTGCCAAAGGATTCTCACATAGGGTTAATTTAAGTAGCTCACCCAATATTTGGCTGTACTATGACTTGTTCCCCTGTAACTAGATGCCTTCTTACTAGAGTTGCATTTACTTTAGGCTGGTCTAGTTTAATGCCATATTTCTCCCTGATATTATATTTCTTGAACTTTAAAACAGTATTTGCTTTTTTTCAATTTCATATTTTAGGACCTAGCTTTTTTGAGGTTCAGTTTTAATCATTGATCATGTTCTTCTATGGCACCCCATGCAAGTATGTAATCTATGTATATGGAGGTTCCTGGAATGCCTTCCACCATTTGTTGTACAGTGTGATGAAACACTTAAAGTAGAACACAACCCAAAGGACATATATTTAAAGCTGCATCAACTGCATGATGTTCTAAGCATATGTAGGTGTGTGCTTCCTTCATCCAGTGGTATGTGCCAAACTAATGTATCCAGCTAATGCATCCAGCTGGGAAAATATCTTCATGCTTCCCAGTTCTGCTGATAGTTCCACTTGGGTTGGGATGTGATAATGCTGTCTTTGAATTGATTGATTATTTGCAATCAATTTGGTGTCAATTCTCCGTGACCATATAGATAAATTTTCTCCACTACTCTGTGTCCCCAACCTGGTCCTCCAAGTCTTCCAATAGTGCACCCATTACTGCTATAACTGAGTCCATCCACCTTGCTGCTGATCCTCAGCATTATAGACTTCTTCAGAGAGCTAGATCTTTGCATAGTATGTCCATAATATGATAATTTGAGCCTGTTCATTTGTTCCTTGAGTGAGAACTCTGGGTTGATTTGCTCAATGATTCATTTGTTTGTTTTCTTAGCTATTCTTAGTATTCTCAGGTGTCTTGATTGATTGAATTTGAAAAAAAGGGGGGTGCATTCAGATTTACAAGATTCTGTTACTATAACCTTATAATAAAAGTAGTATTGACCTACATAACATTGGTTTCCTAATCTGATCTATCTTGAAGGGCTGACAACTACTGGTTGTGCATGTTTACTATGTGTATTATGTTGAGTTATTAGAAGACATCCAGTACCATGAAAGCTATCTTCTTAAATATGAAGGTACTTTTAGTGTGTTAGTTCTGTACTGACTAAGTCAATGTGACTTATTATTTGTCAATAATTTCAGATGTTTTGTGGCCCAGGATGGGTCTTTGTGGGTTTGGTACTCTTGATGTTTTTCTAGCATATTGAGTATCTTTCACTTCCTAGAGAGGTGGGTGGTGACCAAATTTGAAATATAAATAAATAAATAAATATTGAGTACCTTTCCATTTCAAAGTGTGTTCATAGCCACCTAGTAGGCTGCTGGGTTTCAGTATATGACTTTAGATGCACTCAGTATAGGCCTGGCTTGGGCTTCAACCTGTTGTAGTCAAGTTCAGCCATTAGACTGATACTGGTGTGCAAGTCATAAGCAATGGGAATTCTGTTAATGGGTATTGTTTTAACCCAGCCTCCTTACCCTGTCCACATCAACATAATCCTTTGGTATTTGAGTCTATATTTCTTAAATTGTTTTTGTAGCTTTGTACATGTTAGCCCTGAGGTTGGACATTGTTTATATGTATGTTTCATATCATATCAACTGGATTCTTTGCATACGCTTTGCATTGTTTCCAAGATTTTTTTGCCAGCTGCTGTTTTCTTTGTTACGGTCAAAGCCATGTTTCTGACTGCAGTCTACTGGACTCCTTCCTTTCCATATATCTTTATCGTGGATGATGGACAATAGTGGAGTATTATCATTGCTGAGTCCCATAATTTCCAATTGTGAGTGAGCAACTCTTCTGCTTGGCAGATATAATAGTATTTTTTAGGAACAAGTTCAATTCTCTGGTAAGTATTCTTGCACTTTCTTGTTTCTTATGCCCAAAGCAATTTAGTATTTGATCAAAGATTCACAGTTTACCAAAGTTACAAGATTTATTCTTTGGTTTCAGATCTGTTACAAATTCTTAACTTGTCTCAGGACTTAACCACCATTCCTGGTTGCCTTTTTTCTAGAACAGGCCGACCCTATTTCTGGAGTGCAGAAATGAATGACGTCACCCTCTATTAATCTCCCCATACCTTCAAAGCAATCTTAGGGTGCATATCTGTGCTTCACTTCTGACATACACTTTTCCCTGTTGTGTCACTTCAAGTGCTCCTGTCCATTTTGTCTACAGTGCTTCAGTTTGTTGTAGGCTTGCCTCAGCAGTTCATTGACTACTTTGTAGAGGAAGGAATGCCCCTTCCACTGATCCAGTACTTTATCATGCACTCTAAGAGGTTCTAAATCTCCTATTACCAGAACTACAGAAATAGTATAGTGGCTACAATCTTTGCTTAGCGTAGAGAAGGTTGCCAATATAAAACCCAGTAGTACATCCTTGCTGCTGATCCTCAGCATTATAGAC